GCTGCGCCACTGCTGCCGCTGCCGCGGGGGCTGGGGTGGGCTACACTGCCTCCCCACTGGGCCCGGGCAGGTCGGGCTGTGCCACTGCTGCCGTGAGGGCCGGGACCGGGGCCGGCTGCGCTACAACCCCACTGGTCCCAGGCAGGCAAGGCTGTGCCGTCGCAGCCGCAGGGGCCAGGGCGGGCTGCGCTGCCTCCCCGCTGGGCCCGGGCAGGCCAGGCTGTGCCACCTCCCTGTGTATATGCTGCTATGGGGAATACACGGGTGCGATGTATACACGGACTTATTTACAAAAATACAATTTTCTGCGGGTTATACATGGGTGCGGCCTATACCCATGGGCGGGGTATATGCGCGAAGATATGGTAATTCGCTTAAATATCTCATTTTAATATTTATTTAAAATATTACCTCATTTTAGAAAGAGAACTCACAGGCACTTTTTCTTAAGTAGTACACTGAACATATTGCCTGTTTTTATATTAAGAGGTCAAAAGGATGTAGTATTTTCAGTCTATGATAAAATTAATTGGAAAGCAAGATAAGATGACATTTATACCACTATTTTCCATTCTTGTTCTGAGACAATTGGAATGAAGGAGAATAATGTGGATAATGAGTCAAAACTTTATGGCAATAATCAGATATACTACAAAAATGAAATCACCAACAGGGCAGTTCGTTCTGTTACTCAACAACTTTTTTGGTGTACCCCCCCCCCCAAGCATACTAATTATAATAAGATATACAGATGCATTACCATGAACTGCTTGACACCTGTGGTAAGTTTCATCAACATCCAAGAAACTGAACATACTATAGGCAAAAAAGTAGTTCTAAAACTGCAAGAAGGTGCTGAAAATGAAAAAATGAAAATGTAGAGTTAGCGGTATCCTTTTCCTAAGTTTATTTTATTAACCACATGACACCTGTTCATGGGAGATGACAGAAGGACATTACCATAAGGAGGGACAAGTATTAGCATGCAGTTCCACCATGAGAAAATGTATCTGTCACCATGCCATGGACTTTCCCAGTCGCAAGCTACACCACCCCACCCACCGAGGTGAAAGCAGAAAGTGAAATCTGGGGGGAGGAAGAGAAAGGTAGCCTAGATTTGGGCCACCAGATGAACAGCTCTGATACAGATTATACCATGCTTTATTTTCTTTACACAGAAATGTGTTCTTTTTAAAGGTAGTGGGCTGTACAATCAGCGTACAACACAATTATTTTCTTCTAGACAAACCAAATCACAAATGCATAAGCTCACTTCAGCATCTCATAAGGGACATAGCAAAAGTGTTCACACCATGACCCCTGTCAGGCAATACTTGTGAATTCTGCTAATGTGCCAAACTGTACCCAGTGATTTCAAAATGTCTTCAAATGAACTAGAGGAAATAATGTGTAAAACTGAAAGAAATCTGGAGATAAATAGTTCCAGTGAAGTCAACTATGAAGTAATTGACCTCAGTGTATTCATGTAATAGAGAACTGCAGGATCTGGGCCTACATTGTTTAAAATATGCAAGTACTCACATTGAAACAAACAAGCAATAAAAACAAAACAGATTAATGTTCACCAGACTTTCCAGGCATACGAGCTTTTCATTTTTGATAACACTGAGGCAAATGCTTGTCTCCACAAAAACCTATTGACTGTGCAAAATCCTGTCTAGAGTAGGTATGGATGCTATGGATAATCGTTGCCAGTATATCCATCTAACCTGAACCATTTCATTAAGTCTTTTATAATGTGGAATCCTCCATAAAAATGTTATTTGTTTTGTGTAACCCACCCTGATCAAAAACTTCCATCAGTATGGAAATAAAGTACAGCGATCAGATGATTCTGAGTACTATATATTGTGATTGTAGCTAAATACAGTAGTACCCCTTAAAATCTTACAATTTTATTCAAGAAAACTAGATAATGTACCAACAGAATCTTGTAATATTTCTCTTCTCTACCTGGAAATACCCTGAATGCTGAAAATTCTGACTACAAAACTGCAAACAGTTCTCTAAAGCAAATGACATATGTTGAAGTGCTTCTAGTGTAATTTAGCTCATATCAATAAATAATTCTGCACAGATTTCACTAATTAAATGGTGAGTTACAAAAGTGAAGCCAAAGTGCCACAGGTTTCCTGGGTGGCTTTCATCAGTTCATTGCACCTCACTAGAACTCAGTTTTCACTTCTGTAAAATAGAGATAATGATAAAGCATATTGACATCTAGGCTAAGTACAGACAGTCAGAAAGCCCAAGGCTGAATTGATTCAATTCTTTGCGGGTTTCTAACCTGCACAGACTGAACTGATGAAGTAAACTGATATTAACTTTTGAAGCTGGAAAGGCAGCTAGATGCCTGTAGTGGTCCAGACTTGAAGCTGGGGAGGGGACTAGAGCAGTGTTTCTCAACCCATGGTTCACGACTCAAAAGTAGGTTGCAAGAATATCTGAAAGGGTCATGAGCAAGTCCCAGAAGTGTGGGAAAGCATGGGTTTCTCCTTGCAAGCTGGCAGCCTTCCAGCTAGCAAAGAGCTGCTTGGGGCGATTCGAGATAGCGGGTGCATGTGCACCTGCATGTGCACATGCATGTGGCTGGCATGCAGCCAGTATGGGGAGTGAGAGCTGGAGGTCCAGGGCTTAGGGACTGTTTGGGGATGGGTGTGGAGGGGATGGATGTGGGGGGTGAGGACAGGTGCCTGTTGTTGGCAGCAGGGGAAGATGGCCAGGCACCAAGGCTGTGTCAAGGCAGTGGGGGCAGGGGATAGGAAGGCGCCTGCCCTTCCAGCGTGAGAATGGACCTAGGGTGAGCTACATGGCTGAGCCAGCTGCACCGGGGCTGATGCCTGTACTTGCAGGGGTGTGGTGAATGGGAGACATTGCTTGAGGGGCCGTAATCAGGCTGCCTGGTGCAGCACAGGAGCCCCCACCCATGGCAGCAGGGGTGACATAGGCCACCACTTCCTCCTCCCTCCAACCCGTGCTGGGACCAGAGCTGCTCCACTGCTGCCCACATGAGTCAGAGCCACTGCAGCCACCATGCTCCAGCCCAAGTGGGCCAGGGGCAGCTGGGGGCCCCTCCAGCAGGGATGGGGGGCAGGGGGCTGCAGGTTAGGTGCGAGAGGCATAAGTATGGCTCTGGGGGGTGGGGGACTGTGGTTTGGGAGTGAGGGCACCGGCAAAGCCTGGGGCTGTGGGTCAGGACAGGCCATCAATGTTTACAAATGGGTCCTGGTACAAAAAAGGTTGAGAAGCACTGCACTAGAGCACATTTCCCAGTCTGCCAGCTACTGCTGAAGGCACTTGAATGCAGCCAACTGGGGCCCATCGCTGACTGGCTGCCCGGCAGGGGCCCCTCCCCCCCAA